TCCCCCTGCTCTGGGTTGGTGAGGCTGGGGACACGCGCCTGCCTTTCTCATGCTAGGAGTGGGAGAGAGGCGTAGGGCCTTCGTAGAAGGAGCAGAACTGAAGGGTGAGACTGGGGGCTTGTCTTTCCCCAGCTCTACCTTCACCACCTGCCCATGCTTGGATGTTGAGGTTGTGTAGCATGTGGGAAGCAGGGGAACAAGCCCAAAATGCATGCAGCAGTTACTACTATGCAGTGGACCAAAGAGCATCAGCCTTTCCTTGTGATGGAGGACAGCACCCAGGATATTGGCACCCTGGCACACCATGTCTGTTTCTTTTATGGAGCTTTTGGCTTCAATTGATGATAGATTTAAATGCTATTTTTCAGAAAATAAAATTCCCGGTGTCCCTATATACATATAGGCATGGTATGTCTCTCTGCCACACCCCACTGGGAGAATTGTATGTGACTGGGGATAAGGAATACACAAATACAATATCTTTAACAGTTTCTTAGGGTATGTCTACACTACCACCCTAGTTCGAACTAGGGTGGTTAATGTAGTCATTCGAAGTTGCAAATGAAGCCCGGGATTTAACTATCCCAGGCTTCATTTGCATCTTGCCAGGCGCCGCCATTTTTAAATCCCCGTTAGTGCGGACTCCGTGCCCGCGGCTACACACGGCACGGAGTAGGTAGTTCAAATTAGGCTTTCTAATTCGAACTACCGTTACTCCTCGTGCTTAAATCCCGGGCTTCATTTGCAACTTCGAATGACTACATTAACCACCCTAGTTCGAACTAGGGTGGTAGTGTAGACATAACATTAGAGAGAAAGACACAGGGTAGCTCAGGTAATAGGAAATTCATAATGGCTCATGGGATGACATTTAGAGACGTGCAGCAGCCACATCACAATCTGAAATCATGCAAAATTTGATTAGGGTTTTCTTACAAATTCCAAACTCAGCCTAGTTTCACTGAATGGTTTGCAAACAGGCACTGTGCTTCTTCACTAGAGGATTGTGTTAATGGAGTTAGGGCAATGCAGTGGATATTCTACTAGAACTGACAAAGTAGGTCAGGCCAGTAGTCCAATTAGTTCAGTACAGTAGAACCTAAGAATTATGAACACCTAGGCAAAATGAAGGTTGTAACTTTGAAAAGTTTGTAACTCTGAACAAAATGTTATAGTTGTTTCAAAAGTTTACAACTGACCATAAGCTTAATACAGCTTAGTAACTACTATGTAGAAGAAAAATGCTGCTTTTTATTCATTTGGAACTGGAAGTACTACTAAAAATTAGGTGTGCAGTTGACTGGTCAGTTTGTATCTCTGATGTTTGGAAATTTGAGGTTCTACCATTTCCTGTCTCTTGACAGTGACCAGTATCAAAAGCTTTAAAGCAAGATGTAAGAAACCTTACCACAGGCAATTAGATAACCTATCCCCCATAATTAGAGACTAGTTAAAGCCCTAAAATTTGCACATTTGTATATCTTCAAAGATTTGAGTCCTGCCCCATATTTGTGGTTAGAATTCTTGATATTTTCTTATCTGTATATAAATGTCTCACTGCTTCTGAATCCTTCTAAACTCTGGTGTTGATATGGCAATGAGTTCCACGGCCTCCGTAAACATGGTCCTTCTGCTAACAAGGCATTAACAATGGAGCTGTTTGATTTTGTTTCACTGGGATTTATGCAAATATTCTTTTTGACTGTGGGGCTTCAGTCACATTTAGTTTGAGCTTCTGGTTGTCACAAATATCAAAACTCAGCGAGGGAGGGAAAAAGTCCAAACAATTAGATTTTACCTGCTACCCTATGACAACCACAACTTGCATGTGATTTTGACAAAGAACTACACTTGATGCAATGTCAGGTTTGCCTTCAATCAATGTTTTAAATAAGGAAAAATTCAATCATTGTAGCTTGTAGTGGGGCTCTTCCTGATTCCCTCACAAAAATCTTGAAGCCCTGCTAGGTCCTTGCCCAAATAGAGAACACACTCCCGTTATGCCTGTAAAAGTCCAGTTCTTGACACTTCCACATACTACAGAGCTCAGATCTGGCCCTTTGATTCAGCCACATTCAGTTGCCAGATATCTGGAGGAGGGATGGTCATGGGTTGGCACTAATACACTAGGGCCGTGGTCCCCAACACGGTGCCCGCGGGCGCCATGGCGACCGCGGGGGCATTTCAATGCGCCCGCCAGGTGCTCGGGGCTGGCCTGGCCCCGGGCACATGGCGCACGGGCGCTTGCGGGGGGAGCGCGCTTGGCGGGGGGGAGCGCCGGCCCCGGGCACGCGGCACTCGGCGGG